GCAAAATTCTGAATATCTTTCCAGTGTTCAGGTAAACCTAAACTTAGAAACTCACTTATAGCCATTCATAATTAACTACCGAAAGACTTATATAAATGTCAAGTAAATAGTCTTGAACTATGAGAACACAGTAAACCTAATTAAGAGGTATTTTTGAGCCATGAAACTTCAAGAACGTGGCTGAGATGACTCCGTGGCAGAAAAAGTCACTGGAGATGGTTCCCAATTGTTTGGCTCATGACTGTTTGGCCTATGATAGTTGAACAGTCTTAGTCATCAAGCCTGACCAAGATACCTCTGGCCAATCCGTGCAACATGAAGACGACAGCACCCGTGGGCCAACACAGAACACACAAGCCATCTCCACATTCATGTTCAAAACCAAACTGGTCTGAGTTTATATTGTTGTTGTTGTGTGCCATCAAGTTGGTTCCAACTCATAGCGACCCTACAGGACAGAGGAGAACTGCCCCAAAGGGTTTCCAAGGAGCAGCTGGTAGATTTGAACTGCCAACCTTTTGGTTAGCAGCTGAGCTCTTAACCACTGTGCTACCAGGGGTCCGAGTTTATATTAGTGTTGTTCAAAAATTTCTCATTCTCAGTAAATACCTGTGAAATTCTCTACAACAATAAGTCTGAATGCAAAACCCACCTCCGAGAGAATACCAGGGAAAGGTAAAACGGGAGGAAGAGACAGGACAGCTGTCTTTTGGCTTTTCCACATCAGCACGACTTCATCTATGTAATTGATTTTTTTTCGTTATATACATAAAATATTATCTAGTGTTTAGCACCTGGCTTACAAGATGAGGGAGCCCTGGTGGCACAGTGGTTAAGACCTTGGCTGCTAAACAAAAGGTCAACAGTTCAAATCCACCAGCCGCTCCTTGGAAACCCTATGGGGCAGTTCTACTCTGTCCTACAGGGTCGCTATGAGTCGGGACTGACTCAATGGCAACAGGTTTGCTTTGGTTTTTTGGTACTAGATGAGACAACCTCACATTTCATTTAGCTGAAACATAAAAAGAGTGAGAGAGAAACAAAACAGAGAGAAAGGAAGGACACAGAAATAAACTAGGGGGAAAAATGGAAAACGAAAAGAGAACAAAAATATACAATATGAGGATGTGAACAAAGTACCATCATGTCCAGGAGGGTTTTATTAAACCACAGTAACTTTAAAATCAGGTCAGCCCTATTCTTTACTTAAAAAGTCATCATATCCACTGCAAAAAAAAAAAAGCTGAAATTAGTGTTATTTTAAGAGTCCTAAAACCCAAACTTCCTTCAACAGAGGACTAGTTAATTAAATGATGATATACCGTATTAGGCTAAACCACACGAAATTCCCATATTCAATCATTTTTGGCCTAATGACAGAGCAACTTCCTATAGTTCAATCTAATACAATATAATACTTTGCCCTTATTAAAAAAAATGAGGTAGATGTACACACACCATTAAGGACGTGATCTCCATATTGTATCTCCAAACAAACAAGATGCAGAAGAATGTGTATAGAATGTTCCCGTTAATATTTCTTTAAGAAATAGGTATCTATATATATATGCTCTTATGTACACAGAAATATTCTGGAAACACACCAAGAAAGTGTCAACAATTACTATCTCTGAGAGGGAGACCAGAGGTCTGGGATGAGAAGGAAACTACTTTTCACTGGATATCCTCCCGTCACAGTGTATCCTCTCATACTGTTTGAATTTTTTACTGTGCACATGCATTATTTTTTCAACTAAGAAAAAGTCTGGGTACCTTTTCAAAGGCCACAATTAACTTAAGGTTTTTTACTAACATTCAAATTATTTAAAACGTTAACCAGTATTTACAACAAAAACACTTAAGATAATTACTTAAGTTAGTGGCCTTTTTTCACTCCATACCTAAACTGAATACCAAAACAGCTTTACAAGCCTAAGGATTTTACATGAAACTAAAATAAGTACTCCCTATGTTTTAATGATAATATCCATATACCTGAATCATTATATGTAACTATGTAATATATATACAAGCAGTTATTCATGTAAGAAATATTTTTTGACCTCTATGTGGGAGTCCTAGTGGTGTGCTGGTTAAGAGCTTGGCTGCAAACCAAAAGGGTGGCAGTTCAAATCCACCAGCCACTCCTTGGAAACCCTATGGGGCAGTTCTACTCTGTTCTATAGGGTCGCTGTAGAGTCAGAATCGACTCAACGGCAACAGGTATGTTTTTGCTTGTTTGTATTATGTGCAACTCATTCTGCTGTATGTCCTATGTATATCTATGTATAAATGCTTTATATAAACAGAGCACATATACAAACATATGTAAGCATGGGGGTGTATATGTGTGTGTGGGTATGTGTATAAAGGTATTTGTGCAAGTGTATGTGGTTCACATACCACCCTAGGCTGCTACTCAAGCAGGATTGAAGATCTGAAGATGCCACTGGTAATCACAACCTGTCAGACCTATTGGTCCCTTGATGCATCTTCAGAATACAGATCAAGAATTGCTACTGTTGTCTTAAAAGTGACTGGGCCTTGGGCTAGTTCTAGGGTCTACCTGTCCTCCATTAACTCTTATCTGGATCACAGTCCAAGTCTGGGAGCTAGCAGTTACTGAAAGTTAGCAGTTCTTTCCATATATTGCTCCTCTGTCCCCTTCCCCTATTCTGATCAGGGCTGTAACTGATGAAGTTTGTGGCATATATGAACAGTCTGGACTGAGGGGAGGGGTGCTGTGGCTCACTTGTCTCAGCAATTTTAGTCCCTGATCTCAGGGGTTTGTCTATGAAAACGCTGATCAACTTATATGTACCCTAACATACGAGCTAATGCAAAAAGGCAGAATGTCTGAAATCCAACCATTCTTTTGAAATTCAAGCAACATTTCATGTAATGATCATTAATTATCTCTAATCGTGGCAAAATGTAAGTGCTAAACATTTTCATTAAAAAGTTAAACTGAAAACCAACAAAAAAATGTACTTTTTGAATTTATACTTAGTCTTGATAAACATGCTTTATACCAAACTACAGGTATTATCAAAATTAGAGACTATAATCTTAACTATTATCATGAGTTCATGAAACCTACAAATTTTACTGGTACTCCCAACAAATTTGTCGTATGATTTTACTTGATGCAATTTAGAGCCATCTCAGTGTAAAATTACCGGCTAAGTGTGCATAGAATTCTAACCATTTTATGTAAACGTATCACCAAAGCCAAACCAGTTGCCTTGTGTGCAATCGATTCTGATTTATGGGGACCCCAAGTATTTCAGAGTAGAACTACATTCCATAGAATTTTCAATGGCTATGATCATTCAGAAGTACATCCATCACCAGGGCTTTCTTCTGAGATGCCTCTGGGTGGATTTCAGTTAGGAGGCAAGCACTTAACCATTTGCACCACCCAGGGACTCAATATAACATAAACCACTAAAAAAAATTCTGCTATTTTGCTCATTCTGAATATATTTATATAAACTGATTTCTTAAAAAATTAAGATTTAAAATGTTAAAACCACTTAGGAAAGTCTCTACCTTGTTTAATATTCTAAAAGTACATTAAGCCCTATAAAACTCAAAAATGTCACTATTAAAAGGAGTTACAATGTGTGCAGTTAAAATGACTGAAGCAATTCTTGACTCTTTAGTAAGTACATCTTATTATCTGTGTGTGTGCTTACACATATTTATTTTAGAAAAGCTAAAATGGAGGCAGGCTAATACAAACACGAATCTACAAACACATAATAAAAGTTTTACTTTGAAAGAAGAGTCCACTGACCTTAGGAAACATTCACAAAAAAATTAAGCGCAGAATGAACTAACTTTGGCAAATTTATTTTTAGAGAGCCCACAAACCCAATGATTTTACTGGTTGCCTTTTTAAATTCCTCATTAGAGTTCCCCACTGCTAGCTGGCTGGCCATATGAAGACTTCAAACTACAATGAAAATTAGAATATATATGTTTAGGTATAAGCCTTTGCTATATAGGTTCGCTATGAGTCAGAATCGACATGACGGCAATGGGTTTGGTTTGGGTTTTGGTATGTGTCGATCACGATCAAATTAAAACTCTCCACTGGGCTCTCACAGGTCGATAACACGAGCTCCATATAACATAAAGAGGTTACTTTCCATTGTTAAAAATAACTGTCGGTGTGTCAGTAAGATCTGAACTCCGCACTTCGCGGAAATCTACAGCAAGAAAGCCTGGCCAGCTGTTTGTTCCGAGCAGGGTGAGGTTAACAGCGAGCATCGTTTACTGCTGACCTAGTCCCGCGGTTTCTGCCTTCCAAATGGCAGGAGGCAGAGGGGCGAAAAATGCTGCCCCACGTGGCGAAGGCTGCTGCCCGCAGTTAGGGAAGGTGACCGGCTCACTGCAGCTGCGGCTGGTTAGCCGTCACCGAGTTCCCTGCATACAGGCACACACTCGTCGGAACCACTTGGGGGGGGGGGCGGTGAGGGATCAAGCACTCATTTTAAGCTAATGGCGCACTGGTTAAGTGCCTGCAAGGTCGGTGGTTGGAACCCACAAGCCGCTCTGCGGGATACAGACACCAGACTGCCGTAAAGATTTCAGCCTTGGAAACCCCACGGGGCAGTTCTACTCTGTCCTATAGGGTCGCTATGAGTGGTAATTCGACTCGACGGCAATGGGTTTTGTTGTTTAAATGGAAACTCGCAACAGTGCTTCAGTGTTTTCCCACGCTCCCGCAGCGCAGCCTGCTCCCTTCTCAGCCTCTGCCATTCAGCCTAGCTTCCCCGGAGCCCACCCTGGCGACCTCAGCGCACCAGCCCACGTCCCTCCCTCCTGCTGTCCAGCTGCCCACAGGCCCCGCCCCCGAGCCCCGCCCCCGAGCCTAGGCCCAGCCCCTCTTTCCCCACGTCCGCCTGGATTTCCCTGCGCGCTCCTGCGCCTCAGGCGCCCTCCTCCACTTCCTCGCCCCGCCGCCTCCCACGCTCCCCTCAGGCCCGCCTCACCTTGGTCCGGATCTGGCCTGAGGTGGATACTTTACGAATCAGTTTCTGTGGTCCCTCCTGCTCCGCTTCGCTATCCGACGAATCGTCTCCCGGCCCCACCGAGGCAGCGGCGGAGGTGACCGCGGCACCGGCGCCCGGAGGGTGGTGCTGGCCACTGGCCCCGGCCATCCTCTCCGACTCCTGCGGAGACACAGCACCGCCCGACAAGGGCGGTGGCGGTGGTTAGGGGGTAGGCTCTGCCCAAGTAGGGCCCGGAGCCCCGTGCCCAGCTGCCGCCATCTTCGGCTCCCCCAGCCGCCACACACACCCCCTCCCCGGGAGGAAGGGTCGCCGGGGACCAGACGCCCTCCTGAAAGGTACCGCCGGGCTCCTCTGCTCAGGCCCGATCGGAGCGGCGGCCCCCAAAGGGACTTAGTCCCCGGCCTCGGGACGTTCTGAGGTTCCTCACCCAGAATGCAACCAGCGCGGGTAGGGAGGATAGGGGCGGCTGAGGGGTCAGGGAACCCTCCCTTCGGCTCTCTCCAAGAGTCTGGGGTCTCCAGATGGACGAGGGCAGGGGCTGGCAAGAAACCTCTGCAGTCCGCCCCCTGGCCGGCCAAGCAGTGGCGATTCTCCCTCGATTTTTGGGCGCAGGGAGAAGGAGACCCAGAGCTTCCTCCGACTCCCACAGACACACCCCGGCACCTCTTGGACCCTGAATCTCTCCAGAGACGCTTCGGCCTCGCCGCATGGTATCCGCTGAATAAAAAGTCCCTGCTGCGCCCAAGCTAGGCGGGCGCTGTGAGTACGAGGGATTGTTCTGCCCCTTACCGGTCTCACGACCCCAAGCCCCACTCCGAGGGCCATACCTCTCCCGTCTCTGCCTTGGATTCGGGTCCTTTCCGCTGTCCCGACCGCGGCGTTTACTTTCTGGCCCACCCCCACCCCTATCCGGTGCACACGGAAGAGAAGAGCATTTTCTGGGAGGTTTGACTCCTCTCTGAGAACTTTTCGTTCGGAAAGAGCGATCCCTTTGGCTAACAGGAAACTGGGAAGGGCGTGGAGAGAGCAGAAACAAGAGAGTACACGCAGCCCAAGACGACAGAATGCAAAATAAATGTCTAAGCTGAAGCGCTAACCAACTCTGCCTAGAAGAAAACAATGCACTCGAGCCATGTAACACCAGTGCCCGAGCACGAAAACATTGGAAGTTCCAGGAGAACCACTCCCTAACTCGGACTAGAGCAGGACGAAATGGGATCAACATGCTACAGCCACTGCTCACAACTTGTCCCCGGCGAGCTGGTTACGTGGGCACCTGGGGAGCAGCAGCCTTGTGGCTGGCTGTGCACGCTGGGCGTCAGAGATCCCTAACAGGTGTGGGACGGCCGGGAGAAAAGATACTGGAAGGACAGATTCCTCCTGTCATCCAGAGAGAGAACTCCAAACTCGTGTTAGCTGTATTTTTAAAAATAAGGCAAAAAGCCTCGACCAGACGGTGGAGTCTCTCCATTTCAGTAAAGCATTAAATCTCTTTAGCATATTCATGCCCTCAGTACCCAAGTCCCCTCCTATTTCCTCAATTATGATCTTTAAGGTTCCTCCCAACTCAGGTTCTATTGTCTTTTTCTTTTAGTTGCAATCCTATCCTCAACAATAATTTGATTGCCACGTGAGACCTGACAGTTCTAAGAGGTCTGAAGAAACAGTATGTAATGCCAGTACTGTAATCCACATTGTAGATGAAATTCATTAGAATGTAAAATGTGCTGGTTAGTTTAAATGTTCTAAAACAAGATTGCTGCCATGTAATACTAATTTATAGAGGCTACTTATCCAGCTTCAGTTTCCTTCTTTAGGAAAAGAAGAGTTGGGCAAAATGAACTTTAAGATCCGTATAGCTTTATAGATAATGTCATTGTGTATCTACAAAGAGCACATGGCTGTGGAGGGAATTCTTTAAGAGAAAAATAACTAATCATCAAAATAATGACCTAGCTGTTTAGTCAGTGACAAGTCCAATGGTTTGGCAATGTAGATAAGGATACCTAATTAAGGGACTGTTGAAAGAATAAACCCAATTAAGCCCTATTGTAATGTAAAGAAACTGAGGTTGAAATATCATGATCTGGGACCAAAGTCAAAATCATGGATTCCTATTCTAACATTTTCACTGTATCTCACTATATGACAAAAGATGGTCTAATATCCTATGCTTCTAGTCACACTTTAGACTTCCAAGTGTGTATAGTAACATCTCCCAGAATCCAGACAGTAATTAAACTGAAACGCACTGCTTAATGCCCATGCCTACTTTGCCATTTTAATAAGAGGACCAAATATATTTCTCATTCTTTGATTCAAATATTGATTGCTTTAAAATACTTTAAAACAATTTCACACACCATAGCTGGACAATTAACACCTCAAAGTAAAGTATTTATTACTTCGTAAAGATTTAACCTCACAGCCAGCCTGCTCTTCAAAGGCTCCTGTAACAAGTTCCAAAACTTGGCTGTGACTTTGAAAGCAAAGCTAGTCTCAGCCTACTTATGCTAAATAAATGATCCCTGCTTTAAAATTTCCCTAGCATACAGAACGCTCAGGATGAAAATGCTGTGTAGGAAGTTAGGAAGATGAAAGGTAAGTGCTCACCTCACTTCCCACAAAAGGCAGCTCTTGGAAAACCCTTTCAATCATCTCTTCAGAGGAGGAAATATTTCAAGGAATCCCTAATTTAAAGTATGTGACTCACCAGCTTCTTCTCAGGTCTTATGTGTAAATTACAAATTGCCAGAATGAATATTCAAGTTGAATATTGTAGAGCTGCAATGCACATCACTTCCTTTAAAAATATAATAGCAATGTCAGGATCTCAATTTTTTCACCCATTTTAATGTAGCTGAAAATGCCAACTGAAAACGAATTTCAAGTATGTGGTATATACCATTATTTAATTTAAAAGATTTCCTTTACTTTTGCCCTTACTTGGTGTTTTCAAAATTCCAAATAATTTCTTAGATGTGTCTTACATATGTCTTTTATTATTGTTACTTTGAAACATTTGGAACATAGTGCATCACAAACACACTATTAAAAACTTGGACATAAGCCATGTAAATACTGCATCCAAGATAAAATGGAAATAGGTAAAGTCACCATTAAATTGGGTTTCTACTTAATACTGTTTCCTACTCCATTAAACAAAAAACAAAAAATCCTATTATCCCAAACTTGTTTAAGTTAGACAAATCTCATAATGATACCAACTTTATGATTATTAGTATACTACTGTTATCTACAGAGGTAGTAAGCTTTGAATTATATTCTTATTATAAATCACTACTCAGACCCAAAGGGATTTAATATCCATTTGCAATTTTTAAATCCCTTATGTTCTATAGGTTCGCTGTGACTCAGAATCAACTTGATGGCATGTAACAACAACAACAAATGTTCTATGGTTTTACCTTAAATATTACATCATAAACATGTAGAGTTCTACATTTCATACCTGAGAAACTAAAGTAGGCACCTTAACACACTCATGTTCTAGGACTCACATTCCTAAGCAATAGGAATCATGCAACCAAAGAACACTGCTGGTTGGACAAGTACCGGCCACAAGAGACTCTTTCATTACAACTTTAGAACCACTTCCATAATACAGTGTTTGCTACATATTAAATTTTCCATATAGTACTCTCCTTAGGGTTAATTAAATGAAAAACAGTTTGAGATTAATCATGATATCAACTGCATGTACATACAGTCGCTCTTGCACCTAATGCAAAAACTTTCCATCATATAGACATGATGCCAGTTTGGGATCAGCTGCTAACCTAAAGGTTAGTGGTTCAAACCCACCCAGCACCACCATGGAAGAAAGGCTTGGTAATCTGCTTCCAAAAGGATTACAACCAAGAAAACCCTATGGAGCAGTTCTCTGTCACACATCAGGTCGCCACAAGTTGGAATTGACCTGACAGCAACAGGTTTGTTTTTTTGGTTTTCCTTTGCAACTCTTTCCTTCCTAAATTGCCACTAGTTCTGAATAGCCCTGGTGGTGCAATGGTTAAGAGTGCAGCAGCTAACTAAAAGGTGGGCAGTTCAAATCCACCAGCCACTCCTCGGAAACCCTATGGGGCAGTTCTACTCTGTCCTATAGACTTGCTATGAATCGGAATCCACTCAACGGCAATGTTTTTTTTTTTTTTTCTTTTGATTTTTTTTGAATAGTTTCATCACTACTAACTAGCATAAAATCATCTGGGGATAAAAACAGTAAGTAAAATGTACTCTAGCATCCCTCCACTGTCTAAGAATACTTTTTAAATACTCCCACATTTTTAAATTATTGGTAGAATTCTAACTTTTTTCAGGACATTATGAGTAAAGATGTTTGGCCAAATAGCTTCCAACCCACCCATGCCCACCACCAAAATATTTTCTAAGTGATTAGAAATTTAGGTAATGCCTACATTTCCACTGACGTGATTAAATACCAAAACTAGCATTAAAGAAAATAATTTATCTTCTTTAGGCCCAATGCCCTAGCCAGAGTAATGACAGGCTAAAACACCATTTGCCATTGAGTTGATTTTGATACGTGGCGATCCCATGTGTGTCAGAGTAGGATTGTGCTCCATAAGGTTTTCAATGGCTGATTTTTCAGAAGTAGATCACTTTCTTCTGCAGCACCTTTAGGTAGACTTCAGCCTCTGGGTGGACTTGAATTACCAATCTTTCAGTTAGCCTATCGCAGTAACCATTTGCCCAAGTTTATTTAAATGCCCTGACTTAATAACTTCATCTCTAAACACAAAGATCATGAAGTTCAGCAGCTGCCTCTCAGTTGCAGACATGGTTGCATTTCAGGAAGAAGTGCTGTTCTCTTCACGTTTCGTCAGCATCAATTCCTGAGAGTACCTTTACTCTTCTGTCTGAATAGTTTCATGTGGAATCATACCATCATGTTTTAGTTTCCATCAAAGAGTAAGGAGAGGAAATTCTCACGTGGATGCTGTTACATGCCATAAGGGATAATGCAACAGGATCTGTGTAATGTGAACACTGCCCATTCGATACTGAATATTGTAAATGAGTGTAGTTTAATGGTAAAGTATTAAAGTTGTCCATATGTGAATTCAAAAAGCAGATTCTAAGTAAGTACTGAATGGAGTCCCAGTCAAAGCAGACGTTCTTAATTTGAGGTCTTGGACCCTTTCAGGGTCCATGACTGGGCTTCAGAAAATCTGTCAGTCCTTGAAATTATATTAAACTTTTTAAATACAGAGTCGCTATGAGTCAAAATTGACTCAACAGCAAAGAGTTTGGTTTTATATATACATACATATATATATGTTGTGAAGGTGCATTTGGAGGGGGAAGAGAGTCCATAGCTTTTATCAGATTCTGAAAGAGATCAATGACCCAAAAAGTCAAGAACCCGATTTTGATGAATTTTGTGTCCCTTCAAAACATATTTAGATGAAGCTGATTATGTTTCTCCCCTTCACTCCAGATACCTAAAATATTTAACACTTAAATCCAGATTCTTTTTTCCCCTAAATTATCCCTCCTTTTTCTTGTACTTTTCAGTAATTTGGATGACTTATTTTTTTTAAGAACTTAAGATAGTGTTTGACATACAGACTCACAGGGTTTCGAAGATCAGTTATTTGGAATAAAATCACTGCCAAGAGTATCATTTTATGCCATATACCTGAGATCTCTGCAAAAATGGTTTCTGGACTATCTAACTGCAAACCATTGAAACCACTGAAACAAGACATTTTGTTAAGAATGTAAGCTCTGTGTCTGTGCTGTTAACTGCTGTATCCGACAATGCTGGTACACAGTAGGTGCTGGATAAAGTATCTGCTGAGTAAATAAAAAGGTCTTAGGTGTTTAAAGAAAATAAACCTAATTCTTCAGGAGTTTTCTGCAGTCTGGATAAAATGTCACAATTCATTCACACATTTCTGTTAGGCCTCTAGATTTAAAAGCTTGGGTGGAGAGATTTGTACTGAATATATTTTGTAAAAAATAAATGAGTATTTTAGTTCTTGTCACTTTTGAGAAGCAGAACAATGAGTTTTTCTCTATTTTTCTAGGCACAAAGTAGTTCTGGCATCAACTCTAAAGGAAAATGCATATAACCGTGTACTTTTCATTGTAATGGGTGTTGGCTTAAAGTACAGGCTCAAAAGGAACTTCATATAGAAAAGTTTAAGAATAAAACAACAGTAACAAAAACACTAAATTTAGTTTTCAATCATCTTTGACTTAAACTTCAAAACTGGATTATGTTTTTAATTTCACGAATAATTTAATCCCCAGTGACAACCACAATAGAAGAAATAGGAGCAGATGGGCAACCTAACAACGTGTTCAAATTTGTAAAAGCAAAGACAGCTGCAGATACAGACGGATCAGAATCTAAGGACACTTCTGAAAGGTCAGGAAACAGGAGGCAGAGAAACGTACCCTGGGCAAAGTAGCAGGGAGTGTATATATTAGAAAAAAAAAGGAGAACCAACCGGGGCATCCCCCTAGAAGTTCTCAACAGGCAGAGGGCCGGCTGGGAACACAAACCGCGCCCCTGGAACAACAGCATCCGAACCCCTCCAACAGAACACGCGCGAGGCCAGAAATTTTGGACAGGGCTTTTCAGACCAGCTCAAGAATTTCCATCTAGACAGAGTAGCAAACATCAAGGCAGGGTATGAAGAGCCAAAATTCGAGACCAGGGAAACAGGAACCCACACAGGATTACCGAGTTCTGACTTGAGAAGGGGATCCCTGGGTAGAGTCCCTGGAGGTGCGTGAGGTGGTTCTGGCTGTTTGAGTTGGAAGAAGTTGAAGGAGTTTTCGAGAACAAATCGAAAGCCCCCCCCCCCCGTCTCCTCCTCCGTAGACTCCTGCACACAATACACACGCACACACTACTCTCGGCCCCTAAAAATTATCTAACCTCCGCGTTCCAAGTGCAGCCAAATGCCAGGCGAACGCGAAGTTAGCTTCCCGCTTCATTCCCTTTAAAGCCCTAGAAAAGCCGGCTGCGTTGGGGGTGAATAGAAGTCGGGGTACGGTTCTGTGTTTTACACCGCGATCTGCCACCCGAACCGGCGGTCCTCAGGAACCTGCGCACCCAGGTGACGGCAAGGGCGCGGTCTCGGGGGCGAAGCCTGGGAGTTCTCTGACCCCCACACGCTAATTGTCCAGCCTGGGCTTCTCTCCCACTCCCTACAACCCACGCTGGAAAATAAAGTACGGAGTTGACAAGTCGTTTAAGCATGGAAACGGTCCTTCGAGGCCAGTCGCCAGCGGTCCGCCAGCAGCCCCTCGGGAAGAGCCCCGGAGGGAACGCCGGACAAAGACGCTCCGGACGGTGCACTGGTAGGAGCGCTGGTGGCGGAGGAAGCGCTGCCCCGGCTGGGAAGCAGCTGGGGACCTCATCCCGGGCCATTTCCTGAGCGGAATCCGGCCCGGGCGGGGGGAGCAGCGAAGCAGGAGGGGGTGGGCGCGGGTGCGGTACCCACCGGTTCCTCCCAGGCCGGGATACGGGCGCCGGGTGC